TTCTATCCACTGTGTCACCTAGTTGCCCCTAGGTAACCCCATATAGGTTAACCTATTTCTTTTCTTAAAAGTCAAGGAAGTTATTCTTAAAACTTGACTGATGCAGGAAGCTAAGGCTCAGACTGAGGCAATGTTGATGTATCTTCCTGTAACTTTCTGGTCACTCTGGGGCATTAAAACCCCATAAAATATGGAGGCAGGACACTTTAGACTTTGCAGATGTACCAAGACCTCCTGGATCACCGTACTCTGGCTTGCTGACCCTATAGGTTTCTGTATGTCATCAAGGCTGGGTGAGGTGGGGGGAGGGAGACCCTGAGTCTACCCAGGCTAAGAGCAGTATCCTTGTTGAATACCCTTTCTGTGCTCCTTTTGTCAATTCTTGAACGACCTACGAGAGTCTCATTTTGTTCCAGCATCAAACCTAAACTAACAGGGAATGGGCCTGAGTTGGGCCTGCCCGCTGCATACCTATACCATGTTCATGGAATCATAGAATGGGAGAGACATTAGAAACTGTCTAATCCTATCCCCTTATTCTATAAATGAAGAAACAGAGGCTCAGAGAGGTTGAGTGATTTATTCAGTGGTGGGAGGACTGTGACCAGAAACCAGGAGTTTTGTTGACTCCTTATCAAGTGTGCTTTTTTTATTCAAATTGGTAAAGAAGATCTCTTTAGTAACTTCTCTACTTTTATAATGTCCTCTTTCCCTCACAAGTATCTCAGAGGGAGCAGAGGATGGGAGATCAAAGAACATCCTCTCTCCAGATAGAGAAACCAGGACATGGATAGAAGAGGTTTGGCTGAGGGTGTTAAGTGAGTCAAGGTTATGGATGAGAATCAAAATGGAGCCTCTTGGCTCTTAGCCCAGAGTTCTCTGTAAGACTGGGCTGAGCCTTGGAGCAGGGATGATGGGGCCACATGCATTCTCCAAGGCTGCTTCTTAGAGAAGGGAAATGATATATGTATTCTGTGTCTATGGCCTGAGATTTCAGAGTTTTACAGACTAGCGGAGCTATAATTCATCCTGTCTGATTATTATCCATGGCCACATGTACTATCATCACTTGATTATCACATTACTAAGGAGAGGGGTGCTCATATCATGAAACAATAGATAATGATAAATCATTCATATGATGAGATAATGCACAGTTCTGGATAATCCAGAAATAATTTTTCTTTTGCACATAAACCATGAAACATATAAACCCAGTTTAACAAACAAGCATTTATTTGTTGTTCAGTCATTTCAGTCTTGTCTGACTCTTTGTGACCCTATTTAGGGTTTTCTTGGCAAAGACTCTGAAGTGGTTTGCCATTTCCTTCTCCAGCTCATTTTACAGATGAAGAAACTGAGGCAAACAGGGTTAAATGACTTGCCCAGGGTCATATAGCTAGTAAGTGTCTGAGGCTGGATTTCAACTGAAGTCTTCCTGAATCCAAGCTCAGAACTCTATCCACTGTGCCACCGAGCCACCCAGCAATTATTTAGCACCTACAATTTACCAGCAACTGTGCTAAGCACAAGGGATGCAAAGACAAAAGTGAAACAATCCCTGCCCTCAAGGAACTTACATTCTAATGGAGTTTGAAACAACATGTACATGTTTACTTTTTTTATACACACATACATATGTAACATTCACATATACACATATAAACAGCAAGGAGGCACAGTGGATAGAGTATCAGGCTTGGAGTCAGGAAGATCTCAGTTCAAATGTGACCTCAGACACTTACTAGCTGTGTGATCCTGGGCAAGTCACTTAACCCTGTTTGCCTCAGTTTCCTCATCTGTAAAATGAGCTGGAAAAGGAAATGGTGAATAGAGCACTGGCCCTAGAGTCAGGAGGACCTGATGTCAAATCCAGCCTCAGACACATAACACTAGCTGTATGACCCTGGGCAAGTCACTTAACCTCATTGCCTAGCCAAAAAGAAAAGGAAATGGCAAACCACTCCAGACCACTCCAGGATCTTTACCAAGAAAACTCCAAAAGGGGTCACAAAGAGTCAGACACAACTTAAAAATGACTAAACAACAACAATGACAGAAATGCATATATTTATGTGTATAGAAAATGTATGTGTAGAATATATATACACAGAACATATATAGTGTATATACACACATATACACACATGTATTTATACACACACACACACACACACACACACACACACCCCCGCATACATACAAAGTGAGTCCAAGTTTTGGGGAAAAGAGCAGTAGTACCTAGGGGAATTAGGAAAGGCTTCATGTTGAAGATAGTGTTTATTGAGTCTTGAGGGATACCAGGGATTCCAAATGGGAGAATGCATTACCGGCATGGGTGACAGCCATTGCAAAGGCACATTGTAGCATCGTGTTTGAGGGACAGCAAACAGGTCAGTATGGTCAGATTATAGAGTTAATGGAGGGGAAGTCTTACCCAAGAACACTAGAAAGATAGGAAGGGGCCAGATTGTGAAACAATTTTAAATGCCAAACAGGAAGCTTTATGTTTGATCCTGAAGGCATCACTTTGGCTACATGAAGAGTGGAGGGGAGTCAGGAAAAGCTTGAGGCGAGATGGCCAACCAGGAGACATTGCGACAGTCTGTTGGAGGTGATAAGGGCCTGAATTAGAGGCTATGTGAGTGGAGAGAAGGGGACATGTACTAGAGATGTTGTGAAAATAGAAACAAGATTTGACAATGGATTGGAATGTGGGATGAGTGTGAGTGAAGGGGGCAAAAATGATACCAGGGTGTGAGCCTAGGTGAGTGGAAGGTGGTGCTTTTGGTACTAACAGGAAAATTCAATAGAGGAATGAGTTTTTGGAGAAAGATAATTCATGGTAAGTTTGAGTTGTCTGTGGGACATCCAGTTTGAAATGTTGGTGATGTGGGACTGGGGTTCAGGAGTCATCTATATACAGATGATAAAGAGCTGGCCCCTTCCTTTGTCTTTAGTCAGATGTCTTCCAGTAAGGAGCCCACGTGATTAGAAAGAGCCAGGGGATGCTGGGTGGCCACAGATAACATACCTGTGGGCCAAGGGGAGTTATTGATAATAATTCCTTTCTCTTGGAGTGTTTATTCAGCTTGAATTGGGTCACCCTTTCACTCCTTTCATCCTTCTTTCTACCTTCTGGACAGATCCAGGACCTATTTCAGAGTTTTGAGGACACCCCCCTCGGGGCTGCCTCCCTTGCCCAGGTCCACAAGGCTGTGCTGTATGATGGAAGAACTGTGGCAGTGAAGGTACAGCACCCAAAGGTACAAGCACAGAGCTCCAAGGACATTCTGCTGATGGAGGTGAGAATCATTTTTCTTCCTCCTTCCAGTCATATAGGTTTACTGGTAAATAAGATGTTAAGTGTTTTTTGTTTGTTTGTTTTTTATTTAATAGTATTTTTTCCAATTACATGTAAAAACAATTTTCAACATTCATTTTTTGAAAGATTAAATTCCAATTTTTTTTCCCTCCCTCCCTCCTCTCCCAGACAGCAAGCAATCTGATATAGGCTATACATGTGCAGCATGTATAACATATTTCAACATTATTCATGTTGTGTAAGAAGAAGCAAAACAAAAGGAAAAAACCATGAAAAAAAACAAAGTGAAAATAGTATGCTTTTATCTACATTCAGACTCCATCAGTTCTTTCTCTGGATGTGGATAGCATTTTCCATGAGTCTTTTAGAATTGTAATAAGATGTAAAGTTAACACCAATCACAGTCAGGGCCTGAAATAACAGGAAAGATGGAGGAAAGAAAGAAGGAAATTAAGGTTAGCTATAATAATTGGCCCTGCCCACAGATGGTGCCAAGGACTCTGGAGGTATATGCTAAAGCTCACACCTGGATTTGAGTAATACTTATTATACATCCAAAGAGGGTATTTACTTGAGTTGTAATAATTTATATTGTGAGTATGTTCTGGTAAAAAAAAAAAAGAAGCATAAATTGATATACTTAAAGAAATTATTATCAAAAGAAACCTTATTTAAAGAATCAGCCCTTAATTTATCTTTTTTGTCTACGTATGTATAATTCAGTTCAGTACAATAAACATTCATTAAAACACTTACCATGCCAAGGCAACGTTCCAGGAATGGGGAATGAAGACAATTCCCTCCCTCTTCTTCCCAAACCTAGTACTTTTCCCTCAAGAAGGTTATTTTAATCTGTCACATATCATAAACTCTCAGAATTTGAAAGGACCCTCAGAGATCACCTAATCCAACCTGTTCCCGATTAAGAATCCTTCCTGCACCATTCTTGATAAGTGGGCATCCACTATCCACTTGAAGACCTCTAGAAAGGAAGAACCCAATTCATCAAGCTACAAGCATTTTATTAATGCTTTAATTGAATTTTAATTTATTTAATTTTATTAATAATTAATATACTATTTATCTAAATGTATTTGCAAAATAAATAAATAAATGTATTATTTATTTTCATTTTATTTTACTTTAATTTTATTAATGACTACTATGCCAGGCACCTTGCTAAGTTAGCTAGATATACAAAACATAAGTATAAATAAGCAAAAAAAACCTGCTGCCCCCAAGGAGCTTATATTCTGATAGGAGAGACAATATGTACATAAATAGCACTATAGAAGATACCTATGAAGCAGATACAATGTAACTATGGAGAGGAAAGCCTTCTGTAGAAGGCAGCATTAGATTTTTTTAAAAATTCAAATTAATTTAAAATTATTTCACTTTTGTGAAGATACTCTTTCTATCCTACTTCTTCTCTATCTCCCCTCCACCCCATTCCCATCAAGAAGAGCAAACCTCCTGTTACAAACGTGGAATGAAGCAAACAAATTCTTACACTGGCCATGTCTCCTTCCCCTGACTCAAAAAGTTTCAATCTGCAAATCTTAGTCTGTTACCTCTTTATCAGGAAATGGGTAGCGTATTTCATCATGAGTCCTCTGGAATTATGATTGGTTGTATTTATCAGGATTCCTATGGTTTTTTTTTTAAGTTCTTTTCCTTGCAGTATTGTTGTTTTTGTATAAATTATTCTCCTGGTTATGCTCACTTCATTTTGCATCAGTTCATACGAGTCTTGCCAGGTTTCTCTGAAACCATCCCAGAAAGTGACATTGGAAGTGAGTCTTGAAGCAAGTCAGGATTCTAAGAGGCAAAGGTAAGGAAGGAGATTATTCAAGGCACAAGGAATGGGCATCATGGGTGAGGAATAGAATTAGGCCAGTATGGCTAGACCATAAAATGTGCAGAGGAGAGTAATATGAAAGAAGTTTGATAACATAGGAAGAGTCCAGGTTGTAAAGTCTTGGAGTCAGATTGAGCATGATTCATTCAGGGGATAGTAAGGAGACCCATCTAGCTAAAATAGAGGGCCTATATTTGGGAGTTGTAGATATTAAGGCTGATTGAATATACAAGGTTACACCATAAAAAAAATGTATCATCATCATAGCTAACAGATGCCTTTCACGACTATGGCCCGTGGGAATATTTTTAACCAAGCAAGGGATAAATTATAAAAGATAAAATAGATAATTTTAATTTTATGAAATTGAGAAACTTACTAGAGCAAAAGCAATGTAGCTAGGGTAAGAATGAATTGGGGAAAAAAATCCTTGGTTTAAATATCTCTGATAATGTAAGATATACAGGGAATTGACACAAACATAGAAGACCAAGAGCCATTTCCCAATGGATAAGAGGTCAAAACATATGAACAAAATTCTTAAAAGAAGAATGTAAACTATTACTAATCATATGAAAGATTTCTCCAAATCACTAATAATAAGGTGTCACAGGTGAAATTCTGAAAGACAAGATTTTGAGTATAATAAATTGATTTATTAATTAGACTAGCAAATAATCAATAAACCAAGGTCAGTGATCTCTCTCTCAGTGATCAGAGACCCCAAGCAAGTGTTCCAGACCACTTTAAATCCAGGTGTATTCCTTCTGACAGTACCTCCTTGAGACTTCCTCTGACAAACAAAAGGCATTCCTGATTGGTGGATATTTAATGAGGAAGTGGGCTAAGAGTTCTCAGCTCTTCCCAATTACTTCATCTTGGGGAGAGGAGAATAGCTGGAGAACCTGGCCTGGTCATGGGATTCAAGTAGCCTCCAGCAATCTGGGCTGGAAGAACCATCCTAATCAGAATCTTCCTGACTTAGTTTCCCCTTTGTAGTCCAGATACCCCCAACTTTGATTAAAAAACAAGGACGCAAAGGTTGCCCTTTGGTAGCTTGGATTTAGTTTACTCTGGCTTCTGTTTATGGGATAAACAAAGAGGCCCAGCCCAGGCCTTAAGAGGGCTGGAATGTGATGACATTCCTTAGCTAGAATGGGCCAGGAGAAGTTTCTCTTTAATTTAGCATTGAGATATGGCCTTTTGAACAGAGAAGGGAATATTACAAATTAATATTAATAATCAAATGATAGAACATTAAAATTAATTTTCCCTCAAAGAGAAATGCAAATCAGAACAGCTGAGATTTCACATCAAACCCAACATTTGGCAAAGGTGACAAAAGATGGAGAATAGTCATTGAGAAATGATCCTCTAATACATTGTTGGTGAAACTATTTTGGAAACATACTAAAAATATGACTAAAATGCCCATGCCCATAGAACTGGCTTTGGAGTAAGAGGAACTGGGTTCAAATTCTGTTTCTGCTACTTCTCCATGTGTGACCTTGGACAAGCCACTGTAGTCCCTGTCAAACTCAATTTTTCTCATCTGTAAAATGAAGTGATTGGACTAGCTGACCTCTCTGGGGTTGATAATGCTCCAAAGCAAGCTTTCTATTTGGGTCAAAGGGCATGGGCATTTCTCTCTCTCTCTCTGTCTTCCTCTGTCTTTCTCTGTCTCTGTCTCTGTCTTTCTCTGTCTCTGTCTCTTTCCTCTCTCCCTCTCCCTCCCTCTCTCTCTCTGTCTCTTTCTCTCTATTTCTGTCTTTCTTTCTGTTTCTCTGTCTCTCTCTCTCTCCTCTCTCTCTTTCTCTGTCTCTCTGCCCTTCTCTTAGCATAATTCCAAATTGCCTTCCCAAGTGGTTAACTTAATTCACAGTCCCAACAACAACATGTTTTATCTCTTCCAGCTCGAAGTCTATGGTTCCATGATGCATATATGCCAAAAAGGTCATTGAGCAAAAAAAGCACTTTTTGTGGTAGCAAAGAAATGGTAACAAAATGGTTGCCCATATGCTGGTGGAACATGAAAGTAATGGAATGTTATTGTACTGTAAGAAATGATGAATATGAAAAATGCAGAGAAGCATGGGAGGGTTTATATGATGAAGTCATACATTGTGAAGTAAGCAGAATTTTTAAAATATGCAGTGATTAAAGCAATGTAAACAAAAAAGTTAATGACAACAAACAAAACAAAACTATAGAATTATAATGACCAAGCCTGACTCTGGAGAAGAGTTGAAAAATCCACCTCTCTCCCTTCATTGCAGAGCTGGAGGAGTCATGAGTATGAAGTATTGTACTTACTCTCAGACATGTTTAATGGGTCAGTTCATTTTGCTGAAATACCTTTTTTTTCTTTTTAATATTTGTTACAAGGGATGGTTTGCTGGGTGGCTGAGGAAGGGCTGTATTTGGAAAAGAATGAGATATGAAAACAACGGCATCAATAAAAATGAGATTCAGAATAAAGAGGTTAAAAAAAGAAGAAGAAGACTATAAGTAAGGTTCGGTTAGGTAGACTGGGGCCAGAATGTGGAGAACATTAAGTGCCAGAGTGAGGAGTTCAGACTTTATTTTTCAGGCAGTGGGGAACCATTGAAGTTTTTTGGGTAGGGGAGGAACATGATGAAAGTGGTCCATTAAAATGATTAATGTGTCTGTGATATGTAAGATGGATTGCAGGGGGCAGACACTGGAAGCTGGAAGCCAATTAGGAAGCTATTTATTACTGTAGTTCAGGTACAAAGTGATGAGGGTCTGGACATAGGTGGTGACAAAGAAGATAGAGAAAAAGGAATAGTTTTGAGAGACATCTTGCAAGAAGAATTGATAGGACTTGTTGATTGATGACAGGGCATGAAGGAAAGGAAAGAGTCAGAGATGGATGACTTTGGTTCCTAAACCTGACTCATTGGAAGAACAGTAGCACCATTGACAGAAATATTTATCTACAAATCTGACTGACCCTGTGAGAGTCGGAGAGGAGGGGAAGATTCGGTGTGTCTGGGCTATGTTTACCAGTCCCTTGACCTCTTGGCTTTGTCACACTGCTTTGATAAGAAAGAATTTGACCAGAGATTCATAGCCTCTAGAATGTTGAAATTGGGAAA